GGAGGGTGGCTCTGATGCTGGGGCAGGAGCATGCGGAGCAGGCTCAGCTGCCCTGTGGGCCAAGGCCGCCTCTCCCTCAGCCCTGAATGGGGCACTGTCCTCCCCCATGGAAGCCTGGCTTCTCCTCCCTCTCTCATAGCCCCTGACATTCTCTCCTTAGAGAACATGAGCGAAAACAGGAAGAACCTCAGAGAGAACATCAGGCTGGACTTCTCCATACACAGAGGGATGGAGGCCTGGACAGCCAGTGTGAGCTTCTCAATTTGCACCATAGTTCCATCTTGGGCCTCTAGGGTAAGAAGAGGGAGAAAGAAGGAGTCTATGACTTTTCATCAAAACCCTCTCCCTCCAGCTGCTCCATGATTTGGCTCAAATAATTCTCAACCTTTTTTTCCCTCCACTGTGTCAAACATGCATCTTTGTGTATGGTTTTGCCATCAAAACGTAGTTCAATTAGCTCAGTCTTCCTTTGCTTTTTCTCTCTGCTTCCAAACAAAACCACTCACCAAAGTCAAGAAACTTAAACAGTCCTTGGGGTTGGGGAGCCCTCCAAAGCAGGGGTGATGCCTGCTCTTCCCCTCCTTCCTGGGACTCCCTGAGACTCCCTGAGGCTACAAAGGCTGTGTGACCTGTGCTTAGGAGCCAGACTGTGGGGCCAGAGAGCCCAGGTTGGTGGCCCAGTTAGGCAAGTGTATCCCCCTGAGACTGTGTGTATTCTCCCAGCTCCTGGCCTGATGCTTTCTGAAAGCACAGGGCCATCCCTGAGTTTCAGCAGTGAATGTGGAACTCTCCTCGGCCAAGTGCTAGGGGACCGTGGTCAGGCGGGATTGGCCCAACCCGAAGCACTCACCCATCCTTCCACACATCAAGCAGCCTCCCAGGGAGGTCAACCCCTGCCCCTCGGAGGGATCTCACCATGCTGCTTCTCAGGCAGTTCTTGCCCACAGCCAGAAACCCTGGTGCTATGGAGAAGAATGAGGCATTTGTGCGTGAAGAAAGTCTCCTCCCTCCTGCCTTCCATGGACAAGTGATGTCCTTTTCCTGTCATCAAGGATTCCCCTCCTCCAGCCAGCCCCTGAATGGAATGACAAGGAGCACAAGGCTTGGGACCTCCACCTTCATTAAACCCTAGATGAGAAGGCTAAGAAACTCTGGTTCAGAAGTAGATGAGTGAATGCACCCCAGGCCACACCAGATGGAACGGCTTCTGTTAATGGGTGCTGTTCCTGGGCCACCACATCCAGCTCCCAGGCATCAACTGATCTCAACTCCATAAAGACAACAGGTAAGATGATGAGATCCACTCTTTGAATGAAGCATGTACTGTTCGCCGAAAGGGTGACTGCATCATTACTATGTCCACAACAGCAACCAGGAAAACAGAGTGTAATTATGTCATAACTTCCACACCCTCCTTACCAGGGAACTCGAGAACTCCTCCACCAGGGCCAAAGGAAATGGCTCCGTCCTCAGCTGGTGGGCACCTTCTTTGTCCTGATTCTCTGCCATCTGCTGTTTCTCCTCTGCTCCCCACACTGCTGCAGGCCCGGCCAGGTAGCCGGAAGGGACCTTGGTAGGTGAGAACTTCTGCACCTTCCACAGGGGACTCAGTCTCCCATCCATGAGTTCATACCTCAGGGACAGAGCTTGCACAGCTGTGTGTCTCTCCCTCGGGTACCTGTGTTCCTCTTTTATTCTGCACAGGTCGGATCTGGGTCCTTGGGAGGGTTAAATTTCCTTAAATGTTTTCTTAAACCCTAGGTCTTCTTAAATGTCTTTGGTAGTTTCTGGTATCCTCTCTCCTATAGTTTGTTCTGCTTGCTCCCTGTTCATGAACCAGATTCCTACACTCCAGTGATCACTAGCTGTAGGCAGAAAGAGAGTAGCTGCTCCCACTGTCCAGGTCTCACTGTCTTCTGTAGGATTCTTCCAACATCCCTGTTTGCTGGGCTCCACAAAGATGATGAAGGAGAGGCTCCTGACTGTAACTCCACCACTAGCTACCATTTATTGGGCATACACTATGTCCTAGGCATTACTGCTAAGTGCTTCACATATATTGTTAGCCCTTGCACCAAACCTATGAGACAAATATCACTGCTACCATTTTCCATATGAGGAAACTCAGGCTGAGAAGAGGTATGAAAGTTGACTTGGATCACGTAAGTGGAAAACACAAGCACTGGTGCTTGAACGATTCAAAAGCCCACACCCTTTCCTTCCCACCATCCTTCCAGTCACTCAGCAAACACATCTGGAGCATCTACCCTTTCCTGGCCATTGTGGATGAAGCCGAACATCTGGCATACCCTATCCTTTCTCCTATACTTTGTGATCTGTGATCATGGAAAAAAGCGTTCCCAACACCTACAGCAAGGAGAAGTTCTGGAACAGCAAACAAAAGGAAAATAATGACTGATTTGCAGGTGTGTGTTGGAGAAAAAGACAGTGAGCACTGTGGCTCTGGTTTGTGTGTGCCAGGCAATGGCTACAGCTCCTAGGCACAGATACAAACACGTGGGTAATAAAGTCCCACTGAAATATAATAGACAAAGGGAGGAGTAGGAAAATGAGCCTGGAACCAGCATAGACTGCTGTGCCATCTTTTTATGAGTACTGGGTGCAATGTTTCTAAGAAATCACCAGCATCACCGATCCCATCTGGTACAGAAGGAAAGAGGCTGACGGATTGTGTGCTGGTCCCTGGGAATCAGGTGATGGAAAAACCCAAAGGTTAACCTACAGGAAAAACCTACTGCAACCAGCTACTTCCCTTGCTTGTGAATTGTTTAAATAGTTTTCTTTTTGCTGAGTGGCAAAGCAAAGTTTTCTTTAAAAAAAAAAAAAGCATAGAGAGAGCTGATAGCATGGAACACAATTACTAGGGCCTGAGCTGGTGCCCAAGCAGACCAGCAGTATAGGTTATCATTTAAGGCATTTCCGTGTTGGCAGAACTATTGACAGAACTTTTCTAAAACCTCCCTGTTAAGTGAATCTTGATTTTGCCCTGATATCAGAGATACTATCTCAGAGACGTGGATCCTTCCCTTGAGCCCAGGGGATGAACCATGATCATTCTGGTTTCTTTCCTCTTTATCAATGATGGACTTAGTCATTGTGGTGGCCACTCAGGCCAGTTCTCAGCAAGGAGACACAAGTGGAAGTCTGCATATGGCTTCTGGACAGATTTTCCACTGTAACAATCAGAGATGCTTAGGAGAAAGCTCATACCTTTTCCTACCTGCCTTTGGATGTTTTTAAGGTTGTGATGCATGGAGCTGTGACAGACACCTTGCCACCATGAGGGGAGATAATGCTGTCACACTGAGAGCTACAAAATGAAAGAGAAAAATCCTGGGCTCTTGGTGATATCATTGCACCTCTGAACAGGCTGAACCCATGTATCTGCAGAGTTCTTAAGTGATGTCAAAACTGCTTCACACTTTCAGCCACTTTGAGTTTCATCTCCGTGATATACTGGATAAAGAGAAACAGCTTGAAGCCAATGCATTATGCAAGAACAAAAGAACACATCAGCCAAACCCTGTCTGCTGGGTTGCACGGCCTCCAGAGGAATTTGGAAATGAGCAGAGAGCATGTATTTATTGAGCAGCTGCTATGACAGGCAAGGTGCACATGGGATCATGAAAATCTCATTCTGGAAGACAGTGATAAACAAGTAAGTAAATACAGATAAATGAAAGCATTCTCAGGCAACCTTCTAAAGATTGGTTTAAATCAGTCCTAAGTAAAAACCCAGATTCTGAAATTAGATAGATCTGGATTCAAATTCCATCTCCACCCCTTACTATGTCCTTGGGCAACTTACTTAATCTTTTTGGGTATCAGTTTCCTCATCTGCAGGATGACAGTAATTAAAGCACTAATTTATAGGGCTGTGAGGTTTCAATAACCAAAGAAGTTCTTTGTAAAGTGTTTGGCGTACAGCCTGGCACACAGTCAGTCTCTCCAGATTCTAGGTCATCCTTGTTGTAGTCATAGTAATTCATCCCTGCACTCTGAGTGTTCAAAAGTGAACAAGACATAGATCCTACATTCAGGAAATCTGAGAGGCAAGAAAGAGCCCTGGCTTAGCCACAGAACTGTGGGAAGTTAGGCAATGAACAGGCAGAAAGCTAAGGAACTCCCCTGGTAACTAAGTTGGGGAGCCCAGGCCCATCTCTGCTTTTCCCCATACATGTTTTATAAACATTACCCCTTTTTCCAAGAGGGAAGGAAATACATAATCTGAACAATCGATGCTCTTCTTTCTCAGATGGCAGTTGTTCCCAAGAGAATCGAGGGGCCTTTTCTATGTTCAGTGATGTCAAAATACAGTGTGTATAAGGGGTGGCACTTTCCAGTTCACGTTACACACCGGCAAATGTACACAGATACTCCCATAAATGATCTCACCGGACCCTGTCTCCCTTCCTTCATCCCAAATCATACCCACTTAACGTGCTGCTGTGCTAATCGCCATATCTACCCAATAAAAGAGAGATAAACATGGAGCTGTCAGGTCCTCTCACCCACACACTCAGCCTTGTCTTCAGGAACACACCTGGAAGGTCACAAGGAGTGTGGACACCCCTCTCACACTCCCTCCGTGCTCCTCCTGCAGACTTGCTCCAAGCTGCCTTTTTATTTGAGTGTCCACCAGGAATCTTTCAACTCAGATAAAAATTTCATTAGCAAAGGCAGAGGGGGGGACAGTAGAAAGAAAATACAGATGGGGGGCGTTAAAATAGTGTTTGAGGGGACCTAAAATTATCTCATCCTGGCTGGGCCCTTGCCTTTCATTGTTCCTTATTTGTACATTCTGTGTCCAAAAGAAAACAACTTTTCATTAACCGGGCAATTGTCCAGCCCTTAGCAGGGCATCCAACTGCTGGGCTGTAAGATGGATGGCATCAGAACCTGAGCTGCAAAATGGAGCAATGTTCCAAACAAGGAAGTTGGGGGCTAGGCCTAGGGTCCTGTTTCTCTGCCCTTTCATCTCTCAGCCACATCTTCCCTCCAGTCTTGCTGAAGAGCCTTACCTAGCTAAGAGAGAGGACACGGACAAGAAGGTAGTGACAAGAAAGTTCGAAACTCTCAGAAGTCACCGCCTGCATATCAAACCTGAATAACGAGAGGCTATGTAACCCGGGCAGACTTCAGTTGGTTCCGCCTGCCCACGCGGCAGGTTTTTCAGGTCCTTGCTTGAGCGCACTCCCAGGCGTAAATAAACGTGCTCTCAACGGCCGCTGAGCCTGCTCGGCTATTTAGCCAGCCTGGCATCAGCACCCACGGATCCCAAACCCCAGCTCGTCTCAGCTGCTCACACGTAAGTAACTTTCAGAAGTTTGCCTTTGATGGTGTAGAAACCAGACGAAAGTGCTGTAGGGACAGTACAGTATTTGCTCTTCTGTTGGAAAACCATGGACATGAAAGAGAATAAAAATGCGGTGCTTAACCCCAAGCAGGGAGCCAGAGAATGAATGCTCCTGGGTGTAAGATAACATACCCCTTGTCGGTTCGTGGGGTTGAGGTGGATTAGGAATCCTGGTATGTGCGTGGAGTGGGGGTGGCCTTTTGACCAGAAGGTGAGATATTTCTGTTTGCTTGCCCACCTATTTCTGAAAGACACCTTGAAGCCAGCATTTACGTTACTCAGACAGATGCATAGTTTGGTAGTTTGGAAGCTGGTAATTGCTAATCTACATCTCAGCTTTCTCTAAATTCAGACATAACCTTGTTTAAAAATATATTTTGTGTTCAAGGTAGAGGGGCGGGAATATCTCTGGATTGAGATTGTGAATGTGCAGTGTTACTTATTGTTATTTCTTGTTCTCATAATACTGATTTGTAACCACAAAAACATTGATCTGGTCTAAGATGAAAGGCATTCAGCACTCTGGGGATTTCAGGAAATGGAGATTTGTGATTTTTGAGCTTAACTGTATCTAGGAATTCAGGGTATACTGTTAAGTGGAAGAGGAGTCGTTGAATGAAAAGAAACAGCATACCACATTGCGTCAATGAGAGGATCTTAAAGAGAAGAGGAATGCCACAAGTTCCCATGAAGTAGACAGAGCCCTGCAGTGTAAGTGGTGACGTAGGCTTCAGTACAACCAGGACAGGGGAGATCAAAACAGTTCAGCGGGGGAGGAACAGACTACAGAGGATTTGGAACAAGACATCATGTTCAAAAGATGCATGTGGGACATTAAAGGAAATCAGCATGACGTGAATTCCATAGTTCATTCATGCAGGCCAAGTGCCTGCTCATTAAGGACCGCTCCGGTGAAAGCCAAAGACCTTTCCGGTATTCACCCCCAGGCACTACCCTCCTTCCTCCCCAGCAAACATCTGGATGCTCATTTTCTAGAGCCCTGGAAGTCCACAGACCTTAAATTAAGACCCTGGTTTAAGATCATGCTTCATTTTTTTGTTTTGTTTTGGTACCGAGGATCGAACTCGGGTCCTTGGGCTTGCGGGGCAGGCGGTGGAAACCACTGAGCTAAATCCCCGGCCCCCAGTGCTTTATTTTTCATGTGGGTTAAAGCTGCTGACAGAGGAGCCTGCAGAGAAGGAGTGGGGAGTTAAAACCCTTAACCTGCCAGCTCCTTCTTGGTCACCAAACTGAAGCTCAGTTATAAGTTCATATAAGTCTTATGTCCACCAAGCACATTGTGATTAAGGGTTTCTCTGAGTCCCCAGTTTGGGACTGGAAGTAAAAGAAAAGAAATGAAAAGTGGATCCGGGTCTCAAAGAGCTTAAAATCTAAAATCTACAGATGTAATAATAATAATAATAATAATAATAATAATAAGCCAGTCAAGAAATAATATGTATTGCACAATTCCATTTGTAGAAGCCACAATTCACCTATAGAAGAAGAAGGCAGATCAGTGGTGGCCTAGAGAAGGAGTCGGGGAAGATGTTTGTCTGGGGCACTTGGGGGAATCACCAAGGGAGCAAAGAAAACTTTTGGGATGATGGATATGTTCACTGTTGTGACTGCTGAGCATTTCTTATATGTGGAAACTCATCAAATTATACCATTGGAATATGAGCAGCATTATAGGTCAATTATATTACAACAAATCATACTTCAACAATGTAGTTCTTTTTTATAATTAAATGCAACATGAAAATAAAAGAATAATTTTGGAAAATATTTAATTCGAGGAATAAAGTATTGAGACAAGACAGGAGGGATTGTGGACTTTTTAGGACTGGGAGATGATTTAACCTGGGGGTTGTTGGACCTGGAGAACTTTTTACAAAACATCTGTGACCGGGCTCTGCTGTAGACATATTAACCAGAATCCTTCAGTGGATAGTTTTGGCCTTGGTTTATAAAGTGCCCCAGGTGACTGTCCTGTGCAGCTAGGGATGACAGCCAGTGAAACTCAAACCCTTCACTTGACAGATGAAGATGGTAAGGGCCACGGAGTGTAGGTTACAGCCCTGGGCCACGTAGCCACTGTGTCCCATTTCAGAGAAAGCCTGGGAGGCCCAGGGAGTACAACCGTGGGAGCTCAGGGAAAGAGAAGAGGCTGCTTTGGGTCCTGAGGCCTCCATTCCAGCTCTAGCTAGGAGAGGGGATCCAGCCCAATCTGAGAGAGTTCTTGGAACCCAGAAGTGCTCCAGGGGCAAGCTGCAGGGATTACTCAGAGCCTCAGAGGTTCGATATTGGAGGAGGAGTATGCTAACATTCGAAAAGGGAGGAGAAGAAGTGATGTTTCAAAACTGAAACTTCTTTTTGTCTCCTGCATAATATCTGGTGTAAGCATGAGGATTATGCAGTAATTATTGAAAAGAAGCTTGGTGGAAGCACCAGCAACTCTGCTCTAGGGCACAGCCAAGTTGTTCTTTCAAGAAATGGCATGAGTTCTTAGCACTGGGATTAGTCTATTTGGCACTACTGGACACTTTAATTAGGACTTCCAGAGCAACCCTGGGCAAAAGCTGGAGAGAGTGACATTTGTCTTTGTGACTCCTGCCCTTCCTGTCTGTTCCTCACCTCCTCCTCAGTACTTCTGTGGATGCAGTTTCCAGGGCAGCATCTCATGGCCTGGCCGCCGCCACCTGGCCATGTTTTAGACCATTTCCCATCCTCCCTTCCATCCCAGTATGCCACTTCAGGGGTCTTACTCTCTCAAAGCTTTACTTACCCATCTTGGGAGAGCTAATTAAAGTTATGATTTTAATGGACAATAATTGCTTAATGAGTTATGTCCCTCCTGGGATATTAAATAGGTTCCAGCAAGACAACATATCTGGGAGTTCTTTGAAATGTTGTGTAAATATAATTACCATTTGAATTTTAAACGGGACAATCAGGAGACTGAGTTTTGGGTAAAATATGTAATCCCTACTGGTTAGAACCAAACAACTCGTTGGGAGAAAATACACCTAGATCTTGGATTTCCAGTAGAATTCTTCAAATTGATATAGGAATGATATCAGACCTCCAAATGAAACAGGGAAAATATTATAACTCCCAACATGCTAGATGTCAGACACACTGAGTTTGTGTTCCCCATAATCAAAGAGCGAATTCTAAAGAACAATGGAGGTTAAGAGTAGGAAATATTTATTGAGAGATATAGCTCCTGAGAGGCAGGAGGGGTCCCGAATGGGTTACCAGGGACCCCATTTTTTAGGGGGTACTTTTTATAAAGCACAACTATGTGGGTACAACGTGGGTTAAAAGTATGATCAACCGATAAGGTTACAAGTATAGTTGCTTACATAATAGTGATCCAATGGGGAGCAAATGTATGTGGAAAGAACAAAGAACTTTTCAGGTAGGCGATGGGTGCGAGGGTCTTGGTCACCCACTGAGGTGACTGATGTCTATCTAGACTTCATTAGACCAGGGGTTACCATTTATCTCATCCCTTGGGGCAGTATGTAGGCCTAGTCATTTCGTCTTTATCTTGAGGCCTAGCCTCTAACTGATGTGCCTCCAGCTACAGTTGTAATGTGTTCTCATCTGTCCTGACTCTTTCGAGGGCCCAGCCCTATCTGACTGCCTATAGTATTTCTCCCTCACTTATCTGTCTATATAAAATCACATCCTGTAGGCAACTATTTACAGATTGTGAGTGCTGATGGATTTTCTTTTTCTGAATTAGACCATTCTTTGTTAAATGCATTTGTCTTTATCAGAAGAGGCTGTGTTTCATTTATCTTTCTGAAAAGTGGAGAGCCACCTTATGGCCTTTGCAGTGTAGACAAATATCAAGATGTTCTGCTCACAGAGCTTTTGAAACATCACTTGTTCTTCCTCCAGAGCAGAAAGCTGGCACTGAGAAAGCAGTAGGCTTGGTTTTAGTGACCAGGAGCCTCCTTCCTTGGGGACTGAGTCCTGCAGTCCCAGCAACCCCTGCCACCAGTCCTGGGGGTACTGTGCCCGTTACAGCCCGTTACTGTCCCATTGGAAAACCTGAGATTGGTTCAATGTCCCGCCCCTCCTTTCTAGGGAAGCCCAGGGCAGCTGGGCGGCCCCTAGCACAGTGGGAAAGGAGACTGCAGTGAGCTCCACCCTGCGCCCTGGGAGCTGCAGACTCAGACTCTGAGCATCAAGGTGACAGTCAATGCTGGTTTGATGTTAGCAGACGAAATGCTGCTTCCTGAGTTTCCCTGAAAAATAAAAGTTAAAAATTAGACCAAGTGATAGGTTGGTGTAGCTGATAAAATAGGTTTGTATAAATGACAGAATTTCTTCTTTGGATGGCTTTTCTTTGACCATTTCCCCTTTACCTTTATTTCTAAATTTTCTCAGTGTGGAATGGCTCAGTTCAAAGGGTCACTTAGACACTTTTTAGAGAGGCTGTGTTATGGCCCAGGCCAGATGAGGTTTTGAATGCTGTTGATGGCTTCCTCAGGCTCCTAAAACACCAAGTGAATGAAGATGATAGACAGGAGAGAGGTGGGTAGCCTGTGGCCTGGAAGGATAAAACACCTAGCTGCCAGTTAAAAACCACCATCAAAGGACCCCAAGACAGGTCCTGGCCCTCTTGGGCCACGCACATCCTGCCCACTACCCTGGGGCGTGCCCATGGCAGGCAGGCTGCTGGGGATGCAGAGGATCCGATGCCACATGTGTCCCAACACAGGGGTGCATGTGGAGTTGCCATTCCTGCGTTGCTGATTCCGAATACACCAGGTCTCAGGTGTGTCTCAGCCGGAGCAGGTTCAGCTCAATCTGGGCTAGGTCCCAAGTCCTTTACACTCTGGGTGATTCAGGTTCCCTGTGGGAAGCCTTGTGTTTCTACTGCCCAGGTTGAGAACACAGTAATGTATGCTGGCTTATCAAAAAAAAAAAATCCA